ATAAGTTGACAACTTTTCATGTGGACAACTTCTCATATTTATTATTTTTAATTTATTTTTTGTTATTTTTTCATGTTTAAATATGACTCAATCAATAACATCAGCATTATTGTACATATAATTACTAAAATTTTTTGAGGTACATCGGCAAAGATGCAAGAGTACCTTTATCACTGTGCAATGTACCGTCCCTGAACGCGCGAACTTTAGACTACCTGATTTGTCTATTATAAATGCTTCCCATTTGAAAAGTATTATAGCCTCGACATTTTCGTATTAGGATTTTCGTCCTACTTTTTGCTCAGAAATACGCTATTAAAATTTCGGTCACGAGTTGCGGTACACCCTGTATATTAAACGGAGCGATGGAAGGAGATAGCTATGGCGAATTCACATGTGTTAACAACAGAGGAAGCTCGGTAATAGATTATGCGATAGTAAATGAGAATGGATTAGATAGAATGAACAATTTTAGGATTGAAGAAAGGGTGGACTCGGATCACATGTCCCTGTCGATAGAGATAGGAGACAGAGGAAGGAAGAAAAAAGAGGAAGAGGGAAAGCCGGGAAGAAGAAAGAAAAAAGAAGATCTGTTGGAATATAGAAGCAATAGAAAAGTATAGGGAAAAGACGGATAGCTGCACATGGGAGGAAGGAGCAGAGGGAAAAACAATAGAAGAGAAATGGACAATAATCAAGATGTTAATAAAAGAGGCAATGGTTATAAAGAAGAAAGGAAGAAGAAGAAAAGAGGGATAGGATACAAGGACTGGTGGGATAGAAGCTGCACGAGGAAAAAGAGGATGGTAAGAAGACTTTATAGAAGCTGGAAGAGAGGAAGAATAAGTAGGAACTATTATATTATATTGAAGAAAGGAGAAAGTTAAAGATCCACCTGGACGAGAAAAAGAAGAGCTGGACAAGGAAGGAAGAAGAGGAACTAAAAAGTTTAAAGAATAAGGAGGTATGGAAGTTTATAAATAGAAAGAGAGGGAAAAGGATACGGATAGAAAACAACATAAGCAAGGAAGAGTGGGAAAACCACTTCCTGGAATTATTGGAAGGAGTGAGATTGGAGGAAGGAATGGTGACAGAAGAAAAGGAGGAGAATATAAGGAAAGAGATGGAAGGAGAGGAAGAGGAAGGAGAAGAAATTGAAGAAGAGGAAATTGTACAAGCAATTAAACGAATGAAAAAGAGGAAGGCTGCAGGGATTGATGGTATACCCATGGAGGCTTGGATATACGGAGGAATCACGATAAGGAAAGGCTAGTAGATATAATAAAACAGGCGTGGAGAGAAGGAGTGATTCCTAAAGACTGGGAAACCAGTGTAACAATCCCGATCTTCAAAAAAGGAGACCAGGAGAGGGCCGAAAACTACAGGGGCATATCCCTGTTGTGTACGGCTTACAAGGTGTATGCGGAGGTGCTAAGAAGAAGGTTGGAGAAGGAAGTGGAAAGAGAGGAGATATTACCGGAGAGCCAGGCGGGATTCCGAAGAGGGAGAGGAACGGCGGATAATATATTCGTCCTTTCTCACTTAATACAAAGAGAAAGAAAGAAAAAGGATAGGAAGATATATGCAATATTTGTGGATTTAAAGGCGGCATTTGATAAGGTGGACAGAGAAAAATTATGGGAAGTGATGGAAGACAAAGGAATAAATAAGAACTTGATTGGAAGAATAAGAAGAATTTATAAAGTAACAAGAAACATGGTAAGGACCGAAGAGGATTACACGGAGGAATTTCTAACGAGGAAAGGAGTAAGGCAGGGGTGTGTGCTGAGTCCACTACTGTTCAATATATATATATATATATATATATAATATATAGCAGATTTAGACAGGAAAATGAGGGAAAGAAATATAGGAGGTATGAAGTTAGGAAAAAAGAGGGTTTGGTCTTTGGCGTTTGCATGACATGGTGATATTAGCAAAGAATAGGGTAGCAGCGGTAGATATGATGAAGACACTAGAGAGATTTTTGAGGGAGCGTAGATTAACTTTGAATACTGAAAAAACAAAGGTAATAGTGTTTAGTAAAGGGGGGAAAGAGAAAAAAGAAAAATGGAACTGGTTAGGGAAAGAATTAGAAGGGGTGCAGGTTTTCAGTTATCTTGGCTTTACGTTTAATAGAAAAGGAGTCTATAAGGATCACTTAAAGGTATTAAAGGCGAAAGGAAGAAGGGCAGCAAATAGAGTATGGGGGTTAGGTGAAAGGATAGGTAAGGACGATTTCGAAAGAAGAGGGATGTTATTTAACTATTTGGTGAGGAGTGTTATGTCGTATGGTGTAGAACTTTGGGGATGGGCGGAGAGGAAAACTCTAGAGAAAATAATGTTGGACTATGTAAGATGGGTATTTAAGCTTGATTTTTGTACGCCAAGGTATCTGATAACGAGAGAACTGGAATTGGATAAATTAAAAATTAAATGGGGATAAATGCGAGGAGATATGAGGAAAAAATAAAAGAGATGGGGGACAATAGATGGGTAAAAGTTTGTTGGAAAGAAAAACAAGAGGAAGGATAGACTGATTTGTATGGTAGGGAGAGGGAGGCTTATTATAATAGAAATGGATGGGGTATTATTGCAGTAGATAGCATGCCGAAGGAGGAAAGCAAATACACCATTTTGCATGTCTGCCGAGTCCGGCCTTCCGCTCCTCCGTGCACTTATTGGCTCAGACGTTTTTCTTAATTACGCGATAATAATTACGGATTTTGTAAAATGGTATGTAACTTTTCTTCTCAGTTTGATCCAATCTACTATAATCTTTGGAGTGGTCCAAATCGAATCCGACACCCTGTATATCGAATTTTTAACCTTATCCTTTTACTAGAGGATATTTGACTATACAAGCTTGCATTTAATTGTACTAATGTCAAGAAGAAAGTAACGAAAATAGTAACGACTCGTTAGTTTTTGAGTAACGGTAACGGTAAAGAGTTACTTTTCAGAAAAAAAGAACGGTAACAGTGATGAGTTTTACTTTTATACAGTACCTTCTCCAACCCTGGAAAAATCTTTCCATATTTAAATAAATCTTACATTGGGCGTGCACCGATCAATTTCAAAATCCCATCTAAGATTATTGCTGGGATAACGTGCAGTAGCAACAACAATATATAATAAATAAAATTGCTGTTTGTTATTATCGTTTGTGATTTCCAAATTACATTTTCAAACGGGATGTCCTTCGTTATTTCAAGGCCAACGTTTGTGATAGTTCTGAGAGATAAGCTCTTTATGCCATTTGACGAGCAATGATAAACATCAACTATATTATTCTTGCTGAAACATAAAACACTCTATAAAGTACACGCTATCAGTACATATGTAAACATAAACGTAAACACGGATATAACACTTTTATAATGTTTTAGAAAATCGTAATATAAGGAGTGTAATTAATTTATTACAAAAGTATCAGACTTACGGTTGGATTCCACGTTTCCAAGCTGCGATTATCATAGCTTTAATGACTAAGTCCACTGGCATATAATCTGAAATTATAGAAGAATCAGCATAGAATGTACGTACTAAACCCTTACTGCCACCAATTAGCAATCCAACCGGCCCGTTAAAGTTGTCTATCCAACCCTTAAAAGGATCCTCCATTGTTGATATTACTGAAAAAAAGAAAATACGGATAGCGCTTTAAAACCACAATGGCTACATTTGGAAGCATCACCCGAGTGACCCAGTGTATTATTGTATCCTCGTTTAATATTCAGTAAGCAAGGATAAAATAATATACCAAGGTGATGTTTCCGATCGCAGCCCACATGCGGCAGAAATAAAATTTAAAGTTGAATAGGTACTATAACTGATTAAATGTAAAGGACGAGAATTAAATTTGTACACCTAATAGCTATACTGTTAGTTATGTTAATGTATATTTCATTCAACTAAAAAATAGTTTTTCTCAAAATTAACGGCACTAAAATACAAAAGACGTGAAAATACAATCTTAAATTTTTTTCCTGTTAAATTTTTAAACCAACACTACGAAAACACCATTAAATGAAATTAAAGTTCGTAAAAATAATCTTTCAAATGTAAAAGTTTACTTGAAGAAGTTAAAAGTTTACTTAAGAAATTTTTAAGTATATAATTTTGAACACTTAAAATAATATTAAGATGGACAAGCCTGTTCGAAGTTTCCGCTAGAGGGCAGCGCGGCACAGCGCTTTTTTTGTAAGAAGAAAACCGCACGCGGTATTATAAATTGTATCACTTACTTTTCACAATTCTTAACGTTTTCTTTTAAACTCTTAAAGTAAGTTTTAAGTTTACCTTAAATAAAAGTTTAAAGTGCCCAAATTTACTTTTCATATTTCTTATTTTTCTAAAGGTATATTTTAAGGTTTTCTAATGCCCATTCTACACCTAGGGATGATCCTACTTTTACCACATCCGATACCCCTTCTATACCTAAAGCTAATCCTATCTTGCAGCTTATCCGAGGGAGTAGTATAAAGTGTAAAAGGGTACACTGTAGTTGTACTTTGGTACAATTGGAAACCAACCAAAGTGTAAACCTTTTACACTTTATACTACTCGCTCGGATAAGCTGCAAGTAGGATTTGCTTTAGGTATAGAAGGGGTATCGGATGAGCCACAAGTAGGATCATCCCTAGGTGTAGAATGGGCATAAGGTATATTTTCCCAAGGGACGTAGGTTTAATAATGTCATAAAATAAAACTATTTTTTAATTTGGCTTTGTTCAGTTAATTGTAACAAAAAATGGTTTTTTCAAGTTCACTCTCCCCGAAGTAAATGCAAATAAAGATTAAAAATATACATATTATGTATTTACCGATTGAGGGTCTTATGATCACGCAAGGTAATGATTTCGAATAATCGCTTATCACTTGCTCGGCCAATATCTTACTTAAGATATAAGTGTTTGGTATATTTTTCATGTATCTGTAAATAAAATTATTATATTTTAAAACATATAATGTGTTACGTTCCGTATTCACCGCTCAGTTTCTAACTTACTTCGCTGTTAATATTTTGAGAAGATAATCGTCGACGGACTCGGCGATTTTTATTGCTTTCTTCCAATCGAACTCCGTGGGATATAACATCTCCTTCACTACAGGTTTATCGCATTGGCCATAAGTCGTACTAACGTGAATTAGAACCTTGAAACATTCAAGCAAATCAAATATTAGGATCTTAATAAGGTGGATGAGTAAAAGTCGTTAATTTTTCCCAGCTGGCAAGTAAAATTTGTATTTTTTTAATATAGTTTTTACACTGCAGAATCACGTGGTGCAATCAGTTTTATAGATAAACATGAGGGAAACATATGTAAAAATGTGAAAGATGTAAGTAAAACCGGGATTACGATGAACTTAACGTAACGGGACGCGACGGGACGTGAAGTGACGTGAAGTGAACTTAACGTTAAGGTATTTTGTGAAATTACGATCGCCGTAACGTGTCGTAAAACAGAAAATCAAAACAAACAAGAATCGAGAGCGTTGATTGGCTGAAAGAGTCACGTGAACAGCCCGACTAGACGCAACGCGACGTGAAGCTTGACATTGGCAGTTTTCACGTTGCGTTAAGTTTTGATACTTCACGTCACGTCGATCGTAATCAGCCGCATATAAAGACAATGTGTTTAGGTTTTATGTTACGTAACGTCCCGTCGCGTCCCGTTACGTTAAGTTCATCGTAATCCCGGCATAGGTAGACACAAATGTGCCATAAGAATGAGCTACATATTTTTTTTGTGGAATGTTCTATCCCTTTGGAAACCACCAAATGTGTAACAAGTTTGTCGCAATAGAGTTGAAATAGAAAAGAAAACAAACGTATGGAAATTGCGGTTCCCGTACTATGGAAAATGATTCTGCAGCTTAAAAATTATTTTAAAAAACATGCTAATTCTACTTGCTAGCTGAGGGAAAACATTAACGACTTTTACACATCCACCTTTGAGAATTTCTGTAAAATGATAAGCATGTTTAATTTAATACGCTTCGTATTTGACTGTTATATGTATAATATTTTCTACGTGTATCTTTGACACAATAAAAATCAAAAGTCTTTAAAAATTAAATTGTGAATTTGTATTTGTAATACAAACACTTTTATCATAATTCATATGGTACACACATACAAACATTTTTGCAGTGTTCAATTCTACAATATAAGGTGCAGTGGGGTAAATCCGTACACGGGGCAAATCCGCACTAGGCCCTTATTTATTCGAATATACGTTGCATTGTACCAACTGTAAGGTAGAAATCTTCCTTTAGTTAGTATTCAATGATCAACATAGGTGGCCGCCATGTATTCTGTGATTCCCCCGTTTAACTTGTTCGAGAAAGTTCATGGTGTTTCCATAATAATTCCGCTTTTACCCCATAATATAAGGCATAAGGTTCAATGATTTTTAAACAGGTAGGTGCAGTTTTGCCCCAGTTTCGGGGCAAGTCCGCCCTAGCAGCACTGTTTTTAATTTATTAAGAAAATCATAAGTTTCAGAAGTTATTTTTAATCCAAATTAATGCAACTTAAAGAATAAACCATGCGCTAAATAAAAACGCTAAGATTATTAGGTTTTAGTGGAATAGATCAGTTATAAAGTAAACTTTACAATTTCTGGGTCGGTTTTACCCCACTCCACCTTATATGAATTTTGTTCTGAAACGTCTATGAAAATACATATATGTATAGACAAACGTATGGAATAAACCATTTTATTGCTAAAGATTACATTTATCTATAATTATTTGCATAAAATTATTTAAAACGTTTTATTTTACAAAATAAATAGCAAATACTTACAACTAGTTGTTTCATATTCTCAGCTAAAATACAAATATCTTGCGTTGACCTAGTGTTACTGAAAATCGCGTCTTTCAAATCTTCGTCAAATCTGACAGTAGCTGCACAGTGGAATATTACAGACACTCTATCGATCAACATTTCTCGGTCGGAGGGTAACAATCCTAAATTTTCCGCGGCTAAATCTCCGTTTATAGGAATAATTTTTTCCAAACTGGATGGTTGTTTGCTTCGTAGCAGATCAAAAAGCTAAATTAAAAGTAAAAATTAGTAGAACACATAATATACATTTCTATTGATATTTTATTTGATTTTAATTTCGAGAAAAAATTCTACATTGGCTAGAAAAGAAAATTAAAAAGATAAACGTTCAAGTATTGATCGTATATAAATATAATCAACTTATTTGTAAATATTATGGCTAATTTTTGAGCAGTACTAATAAGGATGCTATACCAAAATTTTTATTTGTCGAATAAAATTGTATACATATAAGTATTACCAGGGTTGGGAAGTAACGCGTTACTTGTAACGCCGTTACCATTTTCGTTACTTTTTTTCGGTAACGATCGTTACTTTTTTATGTCTGTAACGGTAACGGTAACGTCGTTACCTTTTTACAGTAACGGTAACAAATTCAGCCGTTACTTTTATTGTTACTTTAGTTTAGTTTAGTTAGTAGTCCATATTATCTTTTATATCTGTTCAATAGATCGTAAGCTGGTTGCGCGCACTATTCTTGATTGGACAAAAATATTCCGATATTGGGCGCTGGAAGTCCATGAATGCTGCTACACGGAGCGCTTAATCGGGTTTAATAACATCTGTAGTTATAAAACTGGCCAATCACAACTACTTCTCAAAAGAATGGAATAACTGTGATTGGCCAGTCCCTTAACCACGGATGTTATTAAACCCGATTAAGCGCTCCGTGTAGCGGCACTCAATGTCACATGAGAATGCGCTGTAAGCATTTATCGATGTTTCGATTCTGGGGCCCGATTCATGAATTCATTCGAAGAAGAAACGTATACGAAAATTCTGCTCTAACAGAAAAGTTGAAAGTCAATTGGTTAAAAGCCACGCGTACATCCAATCAACTTGTAACTTTTTTGTAAGAGCAGAATTTTCGCACATGTTTTTCCTTCGAACAAATTCAAGAATCGAGCTCCTATATGCTCGATGACTTGCTGTATAGAAACTAGTTTAAAGTTTTAAGTTTTAATATTGATTATTAAATAATAATAATGTAATTTTATAATCTAACATCTTACTTTAGCATTTCAACAAAGTAGGTAACGAAAAAAGTAACGAATCGTTACTTTCTAAGTAACGGTAACGGTAACGCGTTATTTTTTTAAGGTAACGTTCTCAACTTTGAGTATTACATACAAAGGAACGAACGTTTCGGCTTACCGAGCCTCCTTCAACAATTTATATAATTATGTCAGACATAAATATAATTAAAATTATAAATTATTAAATTAATGAATTAGATCCATCGAGTGCACTTTTGAATGACTAATACCTAATCATAACACTCGATCATAACATATATATTATTTATGAGGTAATAAATAATTAGCTCAGAGCCCGAACAGGATGGTAGTGTCCATTAATTACTTTTAATTGTAAAATTATGTAAACGTTTCGGTCTTAACTAGACCATCTTCAGTACAGGAGAGACCACTGGAACTAGCTTCCAACAGCATTAAGAAACGATGGAACTCTATCTGCAGGGGCACTTCTATCCCTTATGAAGAATTTATAATAGGCATACAACTGGTTCTTAACTCAACGTTTTTCAAATTTAACAACCACACTTACAAACAAATCTTCGGCACTCTAATGGGCTCTCCTCTGTCTCCGATCATCGCAGACATAGTTCTTGATGACATTGAAACATTGGCTATTCAAAAATTAGGCTTCACTCTTCCTTTCTATTTCCGATACGTAGACGACATCCTTCCTTACAGCAATTCCTTCTGAACACCTTGACTATGTCCTGAACACCATGGGCGTATCCAGAGGGGGG